ACCGCGTACCGACAAACACTCTCAACACCATAATTTGCCTCTCAAAATGCGGGAAATTGTGTTTTGAAGGCTTAAAANCCTAAATCCCCCGGACCCCTCAGATTGCCAGCACCTTCGGCGCTCCTCTCTACAAAATCCATACGGTAAAGACGTGGGCGAACGGGACAAAGTCAAGCTGGGTAGAGCCCTGGCCGACTCGGACTCCCCTTTATTTGTGGACGCACTCCGGGAACAGGGCAGGTGGGAAACACAGGGAACACATACCTTTAATGGGTGCTTCATTACATGTAAGGTATACGTAATTTTGTCAGTGATCACCTTTTCTCACAAAGCGAGGATACCAAGTCCAGTGCAGCTCGAAAAAGAAGCCTATCAATTTACCGTTAAGCGTTGCCAACCGTCCTGAATTTACCGTTAAGCGTTATCGGCCCTGCTGAATTTACCGTTAACCGTTGCCAGGACCCCCCCATGCAGACCCTCATCCCAAGTGCTGATGTTTCTTTGTTTATTGATGCATACTGGTAATTCTTATTTTTCCCTTGCAGGGTCTGTTAACAACCTTTAGCACCAATGCTATAGGACCATTGCTGGTAGCCAAGTACTTCTCACCACTTTTGCAGAAGGGAACAGGAGCATTTGGCCAACATGCATCGAACAAGCAGACGCATACTGCAGTGATGGCCAACATATCAGCCAAGGTTGGCTCCACAACAGACAATGGTGAGACTTTCTCTCTGTAGGATGGATCTCCCTCCCTACCACCACCCAAGGGACAGCAGCAGTTCCTAATCCTGTGGCATGGTCTTACTAGTATAGAAACTTCAACTTGATTTACATATCAGTGACACTTATGAGTCAGTGATTTTGTCTTGTTTAACTGGTTTTTCCAGTATCTTTTCATAAATGTTGACTAGTTCTGCCAGTTCATTCTGGTGATGCTGAAGAAGAGTGATGGCTGTCACTCAAAACATCCGGAAGTAATCTCGTCCAGCATTTTGTCCAGTAGTATTTGAATTGTCTGTGAGTTACTTTTGAATTTCAAAATAGTAATGTGCACCTTCTTATTGTAAAAACTCTCACAAACTCAGGCCTTGGTGGTTGGTACTCCTACCGTATGTCCAAGTGTGCACTGAACATGGCTACTAAGAATCTCAGCATTGAGCTCGGCCGTGGCAGAAACAAGGTGATCTGTGTCAGCCTGCACCCTGGTACAGTCGACACAGACCTCTCCAGGCCATACCACAAGTAAGTAAACGGCACGCACATGTAGTTGTATGCCACAGAAATGCTACTGCATGAGTTACCAGTTAAATCAAGGTTATAATTTATAAATGATAACCTCCTTGTTTCTGTGGATGGGGCAGGATGTGCAGGTTATAAATGTGTGTGTGTGTGTACATTTAGTGCTTGAATCATTCATCACCTATTTCTGTTTGTGTGCCTGTGCATTACAGAAATGTACCAGGTGACAAGCTGTTCTCCACAGAGCGGTCAGTGCAGTACCTGATGGACATTGTGAATGGACTGACCATGCAGCACACAGGCAAATTCTTCACCTGGGAGGGGAAGGAGATGCCATTCTAGTGGTACAATACCACATATGACTGGACATGAACTTCACAAACTCTCAGGAAGTATTTGGGTGACTGTTCAGGTTCAGTTGGGAGGCATTAAGGGACTTGATATTTAAGATACTATTTAAGCTGTTGACTGTCTTCCAAGAAGAAAAGAGCCTGTATATAGTTACAGGTAGTAGCCTATGTAGCCCTGTGGTTAATGACCATGCCTCTGGAGTCTGGACCAAGCCTCAAAAAGCATGTCTATATTTATGGAAGGGAAGAATCATGTAGATGATGTCAACAAATTGTAATGTGGAATGACCCATTGCCATACCAATAAAGATGAAAAGCAGACACAGATTTTGAAAAAGATTGTGTATTGCTGTATTTAAACTACAAGATTTTTTGTGTGTTCCACATTAGACATGGTATTGGTATTATCCCAAACAATCCTATCTTGAGTACATAACAACAACTCTGCAGAAGAATCTGAATAAATTTGTTGCTTTCTAAGAGTGCCTTTCTTAAATTTTCTGTCACTAAATCCCTAGTATAGAATTTACACTGGACAGATGCAATACTAGCGGTACAACTCAGTATCCCAGAAAAAAATTAAAACATCTATCACTACATTGTATTGATAAGTAGATAGAACAATCCTCTGCAAACATGAAAATATACTTTATCCAGTTCAACTCTTTACATCCACCAACAAAATTTATACATCAGTACACTATTAAATGCAATCTTCAACCTCTCTGAACTGAATCAATAATGGAAATATCCTCTCTAGCCTCCAACAGAAATATATTACATTTGACCATCTATATACAACATAAACTACTGAGCAGTAAAACGTGCAACTTAAATTTCTCTGGCAGCTCTGTTTCTAGTCTCTTCCACAAATAACAACAGTCAACTTACAGGTTGTTACAGAATGGAAAGTTATCACAAAATTTTAAGATGATAATTTGCACTCTGGTGAATTGATGGTTGCTCCAATGCTTACTCTCTATTCACAAGGATGGTACTCAGGCTACAGCTCACATTAGTCTCTACAGGACCTCTTGGAAAAATGGTAGAATGGGCCCAAATAAGGGGAGTATTTTCTCAGAGGGCTTGACTAATCATTGGAGTACAGTTGTCAATGACTGGCTTCTCTGGCCAATTTCTACTACCCCCGGGTATCTTTCCAGTCTGGTAGAGACTAACTCACAATAACAGTGGCTACATGTATCACTGCACATGTCTACTACTATTATTGTGAGAGGGGATAGCTGAACTGTAAGCTATACTGCAAAGCATCCCCTTAAGGCTACTTTTGCTATACAAAGTCACCATTATTAAAATCATCCTCTGCTGCTGCTGCAAAACCGTGCAAAATCTCATTTAGTAAATCCACTTGACAATCATGTTTGGCAAAGGAAGGAATACTTCTAGCACAAATGCATGTTTATTGCATAGAAAAAAACTTACTGCAAAAAAGTAAAAAAACATACACCCACACCATTGCACCGATTAATAAAGTTCTACTTTCTTCATGCTAATCTACTTAACTAGATAACTTGTGCATCTTTCTAGAATAGTAACATCTGCCCCTAAAATTGTATGGAACAAACTTGTCTTACAGACACTAAAGTCATAAGTGAAGATTGTCACATGGCAAGTAATGATTTTCTCTGCATTGTATGGCTTTATACTTCACTGCAATCTGAAGAACTGCAAAATCAAAGTAGATGGCACAATTTCATTTCCTACCACCTTATCCTCAGACAAGTACCCCTAGCATCTCCCTAGTCTTTTGGAAGACTGGACTGCTCTTTTTACCAACCCAGCAAGCACTTATACACAGCCTTGTATTGCTTGTATTTCTGGTAAACATAAAATCATTTGTTTTCAGCCCCTCCCCCAGTTGAATAAACAAGAAAACAGGGTTGAAATAAGAAGGAAATGTATATGACATGCTGAGTGGCGTACTGAGGTAAAACTAGTGACCAAGGCTTCATCAAGACAGTTTTCCAAGCTCTGCCTTTTTGAAGATTTCTGCTGCTGTGAAGATGACTGAGTCAATGATGCCTGCCACTGTAAAGGTCCCGCCAACAACAGCACAGATCTGCAGGAGACACAGGAAATACTCAGTCACACAAATTTATATGTATACTTTTACTCTACTGTAAGTTGTGATAATTTGTTGTAAGGTTGAAGTAAATACAACCCAGTGAACTAGCCAACTACCGTGATAATGTCCAACCAGACCTTTCAGCAGCCAAGACAGTATCCAATTGACCAGACAGTATGTAACAGCTTTGGTGGCCCAATGGATACTGTCGGGCCAATATTACTAGTAGATACTGTCTTGGCTACTGAAAGATCTGTCACTACTGTATGACATAAGTCACATCAGTGACTTGAAAAAAGTACTGATCATTTTTTTATCCTTTGCTTGTCAATGAACAAAATCCAAGAACTATGGCTTGACTTGATTACCGTGGTGATGAAGTGGTAGAATGGCTTCCTCTTGTCTGTGTACTTGACAGTGATGGGGCTCAGGTCATACCGGAACCAGATAGCTGGCATCACACGATGTCCATGACCAAATGAGATGTAGTCCTAAGGCAACAGGTCAATCTTTATCATGTCTTTCAACTCAAACAACACAGGCAGCCAGTTTGAATAATGTAAAAGTCATCAGTACACATTAATGATTTCCAAGTCATCGCTGTTCAAATTTCTTTCAGATTTCAGATTTTTCCCACTTGCACCCATAAGGCAACAGACATGCAGGAAATCAAAGACAGGAAATAAGGTGACCTTTTATTATTACTTGGACCTTTGACCTAAGTTCCTGTGATGTGCTTAGAATGTGGAATTGCTATGGAAGCACAAGCAAACACACAGACATACTGAAAACAAGAGCTCAGTACACTGACGTAATAAAGTGGACAAAACCAATGAAGAAATAAATGAGACTGCACCAGTGTGACCTTAGGTATGGAATGTACATGTAGTTACCTTGTAGGCATAGGTGTACTGGAAGGCAAAAGACTTTTTGTCGTGTCTGTTCTCAAAGATGGTTGGCACAATCTTGAGGAAGTAGTCATGTGAGGACAGAGCTGCAATGTGCAACAAAATATCTTGAAACTGTCCTGACTCTGCTGTATGATAAAGCAACAACTGACTTCATAAGACTTCAGACCCATTTGATACAGTTGATGAAATAATTTTACACAAAGAAACACTAACCATTGGCATGTAACCTGTCCACTTCATCCAGCGGGTTAAAGCTACCTTTGATATGTTCCTGCATGGGGAGAAAAAAACACAATGAACAGTGGCACAAAGACATCAATCATTGACATGTAGAAGACAACAACTCCTTGCAAGTATCATGTCCATTTGATTTTTGCAGTCTTATACATATCTTGGCATTTTCGATACAACAGCACTTGTGTCCCCCTCCATTTCAGTTTTCAATGCCATCACCACTTAGGACTGAAGTTCACACTTACAGGTAAAAATGCTGCCAGGTCCTCTCCGAATCTGAGGTCATGAACGATGTGTGACATGTCTGGGTTGGCTGGCTGGACAGGAGCAGAGTGAGTGGACATGTGGAAGTTCCCGGGTACCTGTTACACAGGAATGTAGTTTCTTCATTGTGAAGAATTGAGGTAACAGATGACCATAAAATTTTCAAGATGTCAATCCAGAGACTACACTGACTCTCATCAACCATGGGACTCCTGCTTTACATATCACGTGTAACTGTAAGAGGATGTCCCTAATCAATGCTAGATACTAATTTTCACCCCAGTGAAGTCAAGAAATAGGTGTAAAATGCCTTTCCCAAGAGCCTGCCACAGATTCAAACTCAGAACCTTCAGATTTACAGGCACTGCCTGAATCTACAAGACAGCTTTGTGTACAGAGCAGGCAAAAGCAACAGACTGCAAATTCAGCACCAAGGACAGGACATGCTTTGAAAAGTGACCCAAATTTACAGAGCCTGTTAAAAAGTAGCCATTCTTACCTATTGATGTGTACTGAATCTTACTCTTAGAATTCAGAAAGAGGAGCACCCCCTAGGGGCCAAGTACAATGTATACATGTGTATTTAGTACAATGGCAGGAGATCTAGTATACATGTATTAACATTACCTACCTTATTGACCCAGAACCTGCCCTCAAACCGGCAGCCCATCCCGTTGTTCACCGGTATTTTTTCTGTGTCCTCCACAAAGCCGACCTCGTGCCTCCCCATCTCATCCTGAATGTCCAGCCCCACCACTGCAACAGATCAGAAACACATCCCCATGTGACTCTTTGCACACACACATGTGATCCTTGGTAAAAGCACTATCTACAAATCATGGCACTGATATCTTCCTATTTCTACAAGCAAATCTTGGGAATGCTAATTAAAACAGCTACAATGTACTGGTATTGTCACATACAAAACAGCTCTATGTACTCTTTTTGATAAATGCAGTGGGTTGCTTAATGAACTTGAGATGTGCCTCTCCTCATACACAGGACCTTCAGCGTTACATCCCATCTGAAAGGACACCCCTCACTGAAGTTTGGTGCAGTTCTCACTTTCACCTGAGTCAAGTGAGAAAATTGGTTTAAAAATGCCTTTCCCAAGGACACAATACTATGGCCTGCCAGGGATTCAAACCTAGGACCTTCAGATTCTAAGACAATAACCCTAGCCACAAGACCATCTTGCTAGCTACAATGGAAGAACAGTGGTTGTCTTACCTTCACACTTGAGCTTGGGCAGTGTAATGTTGAGGAAGACTGAAATCTGCCCTCCACCTCCCCCAGAGTTGTCCACAAATAGCTCACTCATGCTGCAACATGGGCATTGTTAAAAGTCAAGCCAAGGCGATTGTAACAGGTACAATACCACAATACCAGGCAGACGTCTAGTCTAAACTGTACTTAACTTTCTTCAAAACCACTGCAGGGCAACACTCATTCGCATTCCATGGGGTACACTGTTATAACTCACTTCCACAAAATATCATGCAACAGACTTCATTGAAAGGTTTTAAAGCTGCTCTTAAGAACATACAATCTTTACAGTCTGACATATGACCTCCACATGAATAACCGACCTTGACCGATCAATGACTTTTGAGTAACGGACAACGATTTTGATTTGTTGTCTACGGCTTTGTTTGTCTCTAAGTAATCTCATGTATTTATTTTGTATAATTTGGTTACCTGCGTTATTTATGTTTTACATACAATTTAATGTTACTTCTGTTTAAGTATTAACTTATGTTTTATTATTTCTGTAAACTGGGCCCCACTGAAAATCAACTTGTCAAAGCTGAGTTGGGCTACCCAGGTGTGTGAAAATGAAATTGATAAATAAATAAGGCAAAGGTTATGATTTGACGATAATAAAACTGAGTACATTTCATGATATACAGTACAACAGATGACTACAATAGGTTAACAACTAACAATTCTTGTTCCTTCTCCCTTCCCCATCAGTACTTACATGTCTGACATGATGAAGGCATGGAACTCAGACAGCAGCAGGAAAGCGATGAACATGCAGCTCAGGATCGACACTGGACAGAAGGAATCATCACATGTCAATCATTTTTTGTCCCCTTCCACATCTGCAGCTACAGGACATGCATTCAAGAGAAACACACCATATACATCCCTCCAACAAGAACAAAAAGACTTTATACTCTTTTCTTTATAAGTCAATTAAACTGTATAATCAAATGCTAGAATCTGGTACGCAATAACAGGCACCTGTCATGTCAGTGAAGTACATAAATTTATGTTACATAAATTTATCTCACCTAAAGCTCCCGTTAAGGTTGGCTGTGTCAGATCCTTGGGTATCTTCCTGTAGATGTCAAACCTGTCAGGCAAAAGTAAAAAGTGGTGATTTAAAATGTGTCAATGCTATAATTTTATAATATTAACCGTTACATATAATTTCATAATGCAAATAAATCAATGATTTTCAATTGCTAAAATTCCAATACAGTCCATGGGCAAATCTGAGGTAATTATTTTGCCTCGGGTTACAGATGCTTATATCTATGCAGGTTAATGTAACTTCTAAAGTACTAGCAGTATGTCAACTTTTACTTTTTTTGTACCTTTTCAGGCGCACAGACAACATATGGACACACAAGCCAAGAACAATACTTCACACCTTTGGGGTCTTGGTAGTTTGGGGTGAAGTAATTATAACTAACAATTTGTCTGTACCATCATTTATTGATTTGTCTTTCTCCCATACTTCTTGAAATAGAACATTCATGAAGTACATTGTACTTATTTGTAGCTAGTATTTAAGTACCGATCATAAGTTTTGATTTGGTCTGGAACTTGTCGGGTTGCACAATTTGTCCACCAGGTAAGTTTGACAAGCCCATTGTCGTGGCTACTAAAGGATGTTACAGTTTATATAATACGATATATAATACATGTACGACATTTTACTATTTATATAATACGATAATGGTATTATCCACAGTATAGAGAGAGTACATGCGGCTTACTTCGGTGGCCACTGGCCATGGGCCGCTGGCCATGGCAAATATTGTCAACCATGCAAGTTCGAAAGCACAGGACATGTCTGTTGTGGTTCGTGTTACGTTTATACAAATGTCGAAGTATCTCAGGCCTGCTAAAAGTTACTACCGCCTTGAGACGATCACATATTCCTCTCACCTTCTGACGTCGAACGGCATGCTGAGATCGCAGATGTGTAGCTCTGGAAGATGTTCAAACTTCAGGTGAAGACAGGACAGGTGATGTTGTGTTGTGTTGTGGTTGATTTTACCGGCACGCCTACCCTAACCCGGAAGTGACGCTGTGCGCTTGCGCTCCACCGTGTGGCACATGATTGGACGCTCAGAATTATCTCCAAGTAGATATAGGAGAGACATGTTTTGCTCGCATTTTGTGGCATTTTCTCCAAGTGGCCGCGAATAGATAGAAAAGTGCGCCATAAGAAAGACGTGGAAATGTTGGAACAGGAACTGTAAAACACTAGCTATGATTGGAGTTCATAGTTCAAGCATTGGGTGATGGGTGGTTGTGAAAAGTCCGCCGCTAAGCGGCGCTGTTGAACTACTTGTCTTTCCACGGCAAAAAAATTAAAGCGCGTTAAGTTCAATCGTAATCCATCACTGCTAAGCTTCGTCCAGTAGAACTGCATTAACTAGTGCTATTGTTGTGACACAACTGCTATCCTGGTTTTAGATTTTCAATAAAAACTCGAATATATTAGATCAAGGGGGTTAAACACAAGGATTCTATATCTCATCTACTAGTATATATCTACAACGTCTCTTCTCCCTTCTTAACACAGTTTACAGAGTTTTTCAATTCCATCGTGACTAACAATGACCTAAGAGTCATACTAAAAACGACGAGACTCAATAGTCTCTAGTCATGTAGTGAAGGAAGCCTAGTAAAGATATCCACCCATTTTAGGATTAATGTTTCGGCACTAAGTTACACTATCTATTTCACCCTGAAAGGAATCTGGTGAGTTGATTGGTTAAGGCTAACAATGACCCATGAGTCATATATTGTTACTAGTATTAAAAACGGCGAAAGCTCAAAGCAAAATAAGTCATAGTCATAGACAGGGTGGGGCTCCTTTTGTGGTCGCCAGTTCTTCACCCGTAACGTAACGTTACCTGAACTTAAGTTGAACGTTCGCGCGAGCGGATGAGTCATTCGATATCTATGAAATCCATTCCTCTTTCCTTTAATTCTTTTCCAGCCACTCCCTCTGAAACATATGTGAAATGCTCATTCATGTCCAAGGTGGGTCCTGGCCACGTGTGTGTGTAGGTGGGTTTGTCCTTGCGCGTCATGAGTCAGCGATTTCGGCACTAGATAAGAATGTGTGGGGAAAGAAAAAAAATGTGTGTGTAGGTGGGTTACTAGTATCTACATATGTATACCGATCGGAATTCGACGATTATTGTGTCACTAACTAAAAATGTGAGAAAAAACGTGTCCCAATTGTCGGTTTGTGGGTTTCTCTAGCTGACCAACTCTTTCTAAAAAGGAGGCGGAACTTCCAAAATAGCTAACGTTTGTAGTAGACGTAGCCTGATTAAATTATAATTTATAGGCGGTCGGCCGAGAAATTATTGTTGAAAGCGAGTTCTGGGCAAGTTCTGAGCGGGTGCCGAATTCGATGTCCCCGAAAATCGGAGATCGCCTCCGAAGCCTGGTAGAGATGCCCACAGAATATCTGCCTGCCCCTTAATTCTGTGGGGAGGGGCACATTGTCACTGTGACATCGGTGTTTGTGTTCCACAGACTAGAATAAACAAAGGCTAAAACAAACAAACAAACAAACAAACAAAACAAACAATGTATATTATATGGTCATCTTTGTATTTCATCTACTGCCTTCGGTCAAATCGCCAAAATGATAACAGTACGCTGTCGCAGATACTAGTAATGTAATACGTCTCTTCGCCCTGTAGGCCATACTCATCCAACCCTCATAACTTCATACAAGTAGTCCACGCGTCCAGACACATTTTTATATAGGGTGGTGTCTCGAAGAGGCTGTTTGCACATTCTCCATGGCAAATCGTGATTACAGCTTTCCTTGTTTGTCCAAAAGTTTTGGTACATCCTCTGAGCTACAGAAAAATACCTAATACTAGGAAGACAAGTTAAAAGTCTGATGGCATGAATATCCGGCAGTTCGGAGGCGGAGACGGGGGCGGCGCACAAGAAACCGAGAGCGATTACATCATACATAAGAGATTACACTAGAAAGCTGTTATTGCAAGATGTGCCATCTAGACAACACTGAAAAATCGCCCATTAAGGTTGAAGATACACTTAGGAACAGGAAATACCCAGTTGCAATTAGCATGCACGCCATTGGGAGCGTCACGAGACGTCGCACGTACGTCACTTGCATACGTCACACCAGTCCTTATCCAATCAAATACTAGAATATTGACTTTGACAATGACAGGACGTACTTATTGAAGTGGCTTGCTTTTTCAAGCAATTCCTATCTTCAAGCTGATATACAATTTAGATTATGCTGTGCCCCGCTACCCTAGAATTGGGCTTCTTTTATTTGCTTACTCATATGCGGTTTTCTGATTGTAAGCCGGTTGAATCGTTGTACACGGTTATTGTTTGCCGGCCCTCGTAACATATACAAGTAGAACTAAGTCAGTTTTTATAGTGTATCAACTCAACACCATTTGATAAACAAACAAACAATGTTTATGTGCAACGTTACATGTCTCAAAATCATCGGATGCTCCGCGGAGTTCGTCATGTCTGTCAACGTTCTTTCTGCCGGGTTCGGACACTTTCCTAGTTGTCTGCAAATTAATCAAGGATTGAGCAGCAAATATTTAATTGTCATCAAGAGCATGTCAAGACAGGTTCCAATAGTTTAAACATTTTAAGCAAGGTCAGGGGGTTTAGCAGGTTTTAAAAACCCATTGTATTTTGAGTAGAAGAAACTACAAAGTGCGGCTGATATAGAAAATTTTAGTTCTTTCTTTTGTACGTCAATGCAAATTTGTCTGTATATCAGTGAGTTCCAAATCGATAGCGATAAAATCTGATGCCTAAAAATACCCCCGATGACGTTTGTCAGTGATTGGGTCTTTTTTTTTCGATAGATGGCATAGCATGAACACCGTGGTATTAAAATTCAAATGACCTTTTTATACGTTCCAAAAATGTGTAGTCTGTACCAAACTGACAACGCGGCCTGAAAAAAAAGTTGTCAAAGTCGAGTAGGGAGAATGATTTGCCAGGGAACACCACAGTGTTCGTACCAGGGCAAATGTTGAGGTCACATTTCCAAACAGGGGCCCGGCCGGGCAGTCTTATGGAACGAAAAATGTTGTTCAAAATGCAAAAAAGCACAAACAAGTTTAAAATAAGAAATAATGGAACTTTTTGCGTATATCATTGATAAAAAATGTTGATTTTTCGTCAATCGAAACAGCCCGGCCGGGGCCCGGCTTGGAAATGTGCCCCCAGCATAACACGGCTCTCCCCTAGTGGGACTGGTGGAGGCTATAGCAGCGATGTGTAATGTAATCGATTTCTATTCAGTTGTTAGTAGTTTGGTAAGCAAATGTTATGTTACTGTTTATAGCTGTGATAAAAGTTTGTGCTTCAATGGTTGTCCTTGTTTGACACCACCACGCCTTGGTTACATCACGAGTGCATCATCTCCACACGTCATGATACGTCACACAAACTATTTATACGGTCACGTGAAGTGGCCCCGAGCATTCCAGTCCAAAAGGTGCGACAAATACACCATGTTCCGAGTTCCGTTCACTTGGCGAAAGATTTCATAACGCTGTTGATTTTAACAAGCTTCTTAATTTTGCCAGGGTTAGATTCTTTGAGCGTTCCAAATGTTTCCTCAGTGACCACCTTGTTGCCCCTGTCATTAGTATGTAAATATATTGCAACGTCATAATAGTGATACCGTATTTGGTCGCACCTTCCTGGGCGGGCGAAGTCCCTGCGATGACGTACCTTTGTTTGGGCTTATTCAAATTATAATATGGTTGACATCAACCTCAATACCAAAGTTCCAGAGGATGGTTTTGAGCGGTGCAGTGTATGTCCTGCTTCTCTCGTTCCTCGAAACTTATTGTTATTAATGCGTCATTGAACCAGGTATTGTCCTGGAGGTGATGGTATTGCGAAAATCTATGACATTCCTATGTAAGTGCCCTTGCACAAATTCGTCCACTTATTGCGTACATAATTTAAATGTGTCCTCTTGGGCCTTTTGTGTTCCTTCAGACTCGTTACGAAAAGTCTTGACTTCAAGAGAATCAAGAGTGAATAGTCTCACGTGAATAGCATTGGAACGTCTGATAGACCAAAGATGTTCTAATCAACGTTAGAAATTTTTAGAAAGTTCTCGTTTCGCCCCCACCGTCTTCTGCAGTGAACCAGTCTGTTCCGGTTGGAGTGGGTTAGCTCCGCCCCTAAGTTGTGACGTCACATCGAAGTCTGAGTCACTTCCATATTTGGTCATCCGTACCAACCAGATAAAGTCCTTGCCCGGCCGTAAACACTCATTCATACATTCAACAGCGGACGTAGTAGTACTTATACTCCAACACTACTCGCGATACCCTTTTGGTATCAAGTAGCGGAGATTTCTTGAACTATTTTCCTTTGAAGTACATAGTAACCTAGACACCAAAATGACCATGGACAACTTTCAAGAGGCCGTCCACGTTACCGAGATCACCCACCAGAACCTTCGGGCGATGTTGGAGGGCTGCGCCGAGAGGCTACTGCTGATCGACACGCGCCCGTTCCTGGCGTTCAACACTTGCCACGTTCTGATGGCCGACAACACACACTTTCCTGCCATCATCAAGCGCCGGTCGAAGGGTACAGTCGGCCTGGATCACATCGTCAAGGACGTGGAAAAGCGGCAAAGACTACAGGCTGGGTTTTACTCGGACATTGTCGTGTACGATGACAACTCTGACGGACCACAACACCTTACCAACGACAGCACGACTCAGCTCGTTCTGAACGGACTCAGGCAGAACTGTTCCCACTGTCATGTGGCCTTCTTGAAAGGTGAGGCATTTGTCTTTTGGAAATTTTTAATTTAATCATGACTAAATATTCGACCTGAACTCAGACAAAAACCTGATATGACAGTATTATACACTGACCATACGACAAATATATGAGTCATATAGAATAACTGATATGAACATGTCGATACAACTTGTAAAATGTAGATTGGAAACGTTTGTTTGCCTTTTAAAACCATGTTTGTCATATAAACATTAGACGACAAACTGGCGTTTTAGATTGTCCTGCCCCTGCCCAAAATTGCTGTCAGTTGACGACCTGGTTCCCTTTTCACGTGCCTTGAACGCTTCTTGCGTATAAAGATTTTTGCAACGCCTGGAAGTGTTGTATGACACATATCTATTCTTCAGAATGACTAATTAAAACAAAAGCATCCGCTGGATGACATTTGACAGGCTAAAGTGACCATAGGAAAACCACAGGTAGCTTACATGGCGCCAACCGTCCCTGACTTGCCTCTTTTCACCAAACCGCAAAATGACGCAGAACGGAATCGGATACGTCCCGTGTGTGACTCGGGCGGTTTTTATCACGTACACTCTACGTTATTCATCTATTTTATATCGGAAAATATCGGTCGGAAAACTTCTCAACCATAATATATGGCCTTTTTTTTAAAGCATTTTCACACATTGTGCACGTATACTTCTTTACCATCTTGATAGAAACAGCAACATTCGTTGTCAAATCATACCAATCAATTAATAAAAACAAAACACAGCGTGCCGTTTCTTTTCGAAAGCAAGTCCTTCTATTCGCACATCTGTGAGAAGTGGCCCTTTGTAGAGCTGAAAAGCTTTTTTAACCATCCGTTGTGAATCGATTCGGAAGTGTTCCGCTGTCAACATCTGTCAAATCTTTAACCAATTTTCGTCCCGTTTTGCTTTGGGCTCTTGCCCCCTGTATCGCAGATGGTACCCGAACAATGGGGTTTTCAAGCCCGGGGAGGGACGTAGCTCAATAACAAAGGACGACCATTGCGTCCGTCATTCTGTCTCTACCTGCTTATAAATTATGCAATTCTTGTCATTCGAACATCCGGATGTGAAAAATGAAATCCGTCCGTTTTTCCATGTTGCCATAGTTCAAGGCCAATTTGTCCGTACGTGTGGTTTATTCACGTATTGAGGTTTGGCTATCCTGTGATAACCTTAGCTAACACAGTAACAGTTCAATGTTGAACCTGACCCAGGTCGGTGTTTAGTTCTCTAGATCTCCCAAAAACATGCTACGTCCTCTCAGTCTGACTCAAATTATGAGTCTGACTATAAGTCCCAAGCACGAAGGAAAAAAGCCTATTATAAACTATATTGCCATCGGGAATTATAGCACTTCTACTGCAGTCTACACCTTCAATCAGTGTACTTGAGTTAAATAAAGACACAAAGCAGGCAGAAAACCGTCGCATGTTTGTAATAGCGCCCAGTTCGCTGAAACCGATCCGAGTTCCCATCTCGCGTGTCTGGCTTCAGTTCTTGACCGCCCACGCCTGTTTCATTTGGCACAAGGCAAGGACAGACGGCTATTGAGCAGAACCGGCTTGGTTTCACTGACGTCAACATAGCAGATCACTACATTTTATAGGTTTTCTTATAGCCACCAATAAATTGTAAAAATTCACCGGGAGAAATTGGAAAAAACGAAAGAAACCCCATCGCGAATCGATATTGTACATGAGCCGGATTTTTGGGATCACGGTGTCAACGAAAATTACCGCAAAATTTTACAAATGTTACTGTAGATTATGTGCTACTTTAATACTGTAGTAGCCAAGGAAATCCTGTGCTCTGATTTTGTTCACAAGAATTGTCCAGGAAAATGTTAGCAATTTATCACTCGTTTCCTGTAACTTTACGGGATTTCCATTTATGGAGAAATATGCACCACTCAGGGTTGTTTTTACTCTTGGGCCAGCCATATTTTTTCTTTCCCCCGATCATTGGAAAGTTGCATTCGTACCGAACACGTTGAGGTTACACATATATACCGGATCAAGGACGTTGTATTTATATATATCCTTGGCTGGATTTTGGTGACGGGCTGGTATGAATGGCCGGGCGGCTGAAATGATCATGAGAGGGAGCCGGTCTGTCGGCTGGCACCACCCGTGGCGCATGGCGGGGGCTGAGGTGGCAGGTGCCTCCGAACAAATTTCCTGGCATGGAAATTTTACACCGTCCGTCATTTCCGTAGCGCAAACTCCCAGTGGATGTTATTAGCGTTAATGGTCTTCAAAATCGACCGCGTTTTGGGAAATTCTATTCCGTTATTTACATAAAATGGTGTCCGAAACGACGAGAACTCTGCGATTTCGGATTCCTGACGTCATTCAGATCCTCGTGACATCATGAAAATCTTGTGCTTCACACTTCCGGCTCATCTCAAATTGTCAGGGGGCGGCGGCGATGTGGTACAATTTCCGGCAGACGCTCATCCGGGCTTCGATGTAATCATTTGTGTTGCCTGAACATGTCACCAAATAGTGGAACAATAAAATTGCCCTCCAACTATAGAAGAAAATTGCTGGACTCGCTGGAATTTTCGAATGAAGTGAACTAAAATCCAAACGCAACTGATACGTTCAAGGCTAAGAAGGTTAGACTATAAGATATTTCGGGCAAACAGCTAAAAAAACGTTGGACAACAATGACTGACGTTTCGATGTTTACTTTTCAGGCGGCTTTGACACCTTCAGTGCGGAATACCCCGATCTGTGCCAGTGGAGCAGCCCGCCTGTCAGTCCCATGGGCTTCTCCCCAACATCGTCTGCAACCCTCACGGCCAACTCCACCTCAGCTCTGTCAACAGCGACACCTGGCAGCGAGCCTGTGTACGACAGGGGTCAGCCTGTGGAGATTCTGCCATACTTGTATCTGGGCAGTGGATACCACGCCTCAAGGAAGGACATGTTGGAAGCACTGGTAAGTAACCAAGAGTCTAGGAGTTTAGCCATTTTTGCACTGATAAACATGCATTTTGATGTTTGCAATCAATTTTTTTTAACGGTGTCGCTCAATGCAAGGCCATTGGCCACTTCTAGGCATAGAGCTAGCCTGTAACTGTAACAGAAACTTTACAAATTCAGAGATTTTACAGCCAAATACAATGTTCCTAATGATGTTGATATCTTTTGTTCATAGGGCATTACAGCATTGCTGAATGTTTCCCGAACCTGCCCCAACCACTTTGAGTCAGAGTACATGTACAAGTGTATCCCAGTGGAAGACACTCAGAACGCTGACATCCAGGCTTGGTTTCAGGAGGCCATTGACTATATAGGTAAGGATCTTCTTCTTTGTCTTATTGATTCCTAGTGTTCCCTCAAAGTTGTCAGACCAAATTTTTTATTTTTCATGTTAAACAGTAATGCCAGTACTAAGTCTATTTTGTCCCTTTGATTCCACAGACTTGGTGAAGCTGTCTGGAGGCCGTGTGCTGGTCCACTGTCACGCCGGCGTGTCCCGTTCAGCCACCATCTGTCTCGCCTACCTCATGCACACCAACAGGGTCAGGCTGGACGAGGCCTTCGACTTTGTGAAGCAGCGACGCAGCGTCATCAGCCCCAACTTCAACTTCATGGGGCAGCTTCTGCAGTGGGAGGCTCAGCTCCACTCCGCGGCTCCTCCTAGTGGTAGTGCAGGGAACTGCAGCAACCATGGACAGGTGCGCCCCTTCTGTTCCAGCCCCACAGCCTCTGTTTCATCTCCAGCGCCCAGGAAAAGGATCAGGTCGGCCTCCTGCGCTCCTCTCGCACGGTCGCCCTGTTTCGTCTTCCCCATGCCGAGACAGGATCAGCCCCTCATGTCACCTTCTTGAAGAGGCCTCTGAGTGTCTTAAACTTTGAAGATTTGATTTTACAAGACGCTGGTTCGTCTATTTTCCAGTCAAGTCACTGGCATGGTGCCATGGAACGGCTGGGTTGCCTTCCTTAGGGCAGAGTTAGTAGTTACGCTACTAACTGTCAGTTTGGTTAGGGTGCCTCTCGTCAGAACTTTTGTGGTAACAAGCGACTCCTAGCGACAGAATAGCAAATATACGTCTGTGAATGTTTGTATGAAAGTTACTTGTCATGGAGTTCCTCCCCTCCCTGATAGGGAGTTGGATTAGAACCTCCAGTCTAGGAAAGCTTTACCACTTAACCACCCAGAATGGGTGTGTGATGTGCCCTGTACAACTGGTAACAAAAATACCTCAGTGCAATATTTGATACAATAGCTTGTTCTTTCCATAGTTGATACTGATGTCTGTTCATCAGGTGCATTTAGTCATAGGCGCACAAGGCAGAGACTTTGTTACAGCAAAGAGATTTCTATTGTGCTTAGAAATTTCAGGAACACTAGACTGTAAACAGTTGCTACCAAAATGTCAAAGACAAGTCATGGAGAGCATATGAGAATCATGTTCAAAAGCTACTACCAAAGTGTACTTTTTCACCATGAGTGTGTGTACACTAAATGTGTATGGTGCATACCTATTGAACTCTACATGGGCTATTCCATCAGGCATTTCTGAGCTCGAGAACCTTTACAAAATTTTTGAATTACCTGGTACATACCTTTATCTTTGGATTAGTTTCAACATCTTGCCATTTTTCCTTGAGCCACTTCTTATATGCAGGACTGGTGGTCTTATTGTTCGAACCCCTCAGATGGAATAGCCCACAGATAATGATGTTACATGGATTACCTTATCTGGGATTTGTTTCAAATCCATGTTATAACACACATATATATTTTTTTCTTTGTTATGGAGTTAATATATCATTTAGATTTACATGCTGAACACTTTTTACATGTACATGTACTTATTTTTACCAAGTTCTTTTTTTTTTACTTTTCTACAATATATGAAAAACATTGGTTTGGAGAAAACTGTCACATTCCAGGATGCTGGATGAAGCATCAAGAAGCAATATGCATGTTGTTAATCCACCACAGACAATAACATGTATCTGGAAAGTCTCATAAATACTATTGAATGGATACATTCTACTGTACACAACAAGGCATTGTGGGATACATCCCTGAAGACCTTGAATGCTGGATGGTTGGATACAACCTGTATGCAGTTTTCACCACACAAGAACAAGCATTTGTTGTATCTCTGCCAAAGAGTACTCTACTCTCACTGAGAGTTCTGTTTGTTTCAAGAATAAATTATTCTGAACAGAAACAAGTGTTGGTAGTTCCATTTTGCCCTCTATCTTTTAAAAATAAATATAGATTATAGTAAATAAGTTAGACATGATCACTGGTAGATGTTGCCATGGTTACAGGTAGATGGCAGGACATTTTTATTCCCAAATATTGCCACAAACTGGCAAATACAGCTTAGGCTACAAGTACATATGTACAACAATATGAATTCAATCAATATTATTTCAAATATATGAAGTCTTTTGACACAATTTTGTACAATAAAATTTGCACTTTGCCCACCACATCACAAAGCTTCATCTCCAGTTATATACCCTGGTATGTACTTTATCACATGAAATATAAAGAGAATGGAAAGAAGTGGCCCCATTGCACATGCCAGTTAAATAAAACAATAGGTATTTACAGTACATCAACACATTCTCTTGAAGTTGCATGGAAATCTATTACACACATACAAATTTTATGAGATGCAACATCCCACCATTAAAACGAAACATAACATTGTCTAAAAGACTTGCACTAAGTGATGTAATATTACATGTACAGTAAAAACTGCCCAAGAAGACCTGCTCAGGCATATCTGGGGACCAATAAAATCTGGTCTACATGGACAGCTGCTTACAGGATTCCTAATGCTTGAATCAATGGTAAAAATTACTTAGGGACCAAAAAGTGGTCGCATTAGCCAGGTGGTCCTCATGTAGAGGTGGTGATTTGCTTTAAGCTTTGATGTCTGCTGAGGTATAGTGTTTTGGCACCAAAATTGTATTGGTTAAAGTTAGCGAGCCTGACTTCCGTTGGCCCACTAGAAGGGGCTGTTATACACCCTAGAGAGCAGAGCTGGTGTTACACATAATAAGGATGTAATTGGTAGCTGGGACAAAGTTCTAAGTCAATAGGAGTCCTCATCTACAATTGGTTTCATTGCTAAATGGCAGCCGCATATAGGTCTTGACCCATTTCTTGATGCCAAATTAACAAACCTTTAGGACAAAGTCTCTTATATGAAGGAAATACAGCTACATGTATTTCAAATACATATGTACTGATAAGTGGATAGCCATGTAAAAATATCAAATGTTCACATCTCCATCATTCTCCTTTTAAGATCAATTTTACAATTTTAAGAAAAAATTCAGGACCATGATTTTATGACTGACATTCAATATACATATGTGCAACAAGTGACACTCCAGCAAAATCAACAATTGCACAAAGAACCCGGTGGCAAGGTGGTCTGGTGGTTAGGGTTGCCTTCTTGAACCAGATTGTTACAAGTGTTTTGAGAACTGATGAATCATTCGGCGTATGACAGAGTAAAGGCTGATGCTGCCTCCCACCAACCCAAATAAGATGATCAGCACATCCTTAATGATGCTTACATAACTGAGGCTCCCCCTGTAGAGTTTCAAATGAATTGCACAAGGAAGGATGAAAGCCAGGATGGTACTGCCAACTGCTCCTGTGAAACAAAAAGAGGACATCAACATTGTAAGCAATACCCAAAGCTATGGAAGCCTCAAAAGAATAGGTTTTTGCACAAGGTACTGCCATTATCTTACAGCTTTGCTCCTTCAAAGTCTTGTACATTACAGTCAAGCGCTTTTTTCTTTTCATACTTTGCAGCATTTGAAGATGTGTAAAAATATGGTTGCCCAGCTACATTTTATTAGTACTGAACATCATTTGTACATGACACAAGGTTGCAAGCACAAATGCTGCATTTCACTAGACTTACCAGTAAAAGCGCCGATGTACGCAAAGTCATCCTTCAGTAGGATAGCCAGTGCCCCCGAGGCTGTCACTAGTAATGTTCGCAACAAGTTACGCTTCCAGGCTGACACCTGTAAGAAATACCGAGGGAAGGTCTAAGGACATTCCTGTACTAGTCTCATGTAGTATTGGATGGGGAAATGGCTAGGCAAAGTAGACACGAGAAAAAAAGTCATCTTACTGAGTCAGGTATTGCCATGGCAACAGTCAACTTCTCTCCACCAGATTCCTCCTCCTCATCCTCATCATCATTCAGCAGCAGGGGATCTGATTGGCTGTTCATGAGGCCGTCTGATTGGACAGACCCATTTCTGCCGTTGGTGTCAGCAACAGGCCCACAACATCTCCCTATAAAAAGCCATCATTTGGAGAAAATGTTTCTTTTCTGGGTTTATATGAAGTTGCATTCCAAAGCATAAAGCAAGTCTACACAGGCAATGCCTAACAGTTGGCTTTATCATAGCTAAAAACATATAGTACAGTACTTTTCCAATTTGGGAAAGGATACTTCTGTTGTAGCTTACCGGGTGCAAACAGCCATCCCTCTATAATCTCCACCACTGGTACCAGCTGCATGGGATAGGTGAACGCCACACCAATGCACAGGGTCAGGTTCACTGTCTGAAATGCACAAGTACACATTGTCACAATCAATAAACAACACAAGGATCTTCCTATTCCCAGAACTACGAACAGCAGCCTAGAGTTCTTTATCACTATTAAAATCAGTTTAACTGGAGCTCTGAATTATCTGTCACTACAGAAACCAGTCATCACAGCCTTCAACACCTTGATAACAGACAGTTCTCTATCTGAAACATAATTGGTATAGCATTTATACATAAATCAACAGGATTAAGATTCTCCCAAGTTAGTGGTGTTGGTCAATGGATGGCTATTTGAGGTGTGATCTGTCAGGCCCACCTGTGCAATAACTGATCCCATGGGTAGGTTTTGTGAGATCATCTGCTGAACGTTGGTTCCGAAGCGAAGATACCCGACGATGCCGAAGCAACCCAGGATAAGGGAGACCAGGAAGAGCGCCGTGTGGAGGAACTTGGAGAAATTATGGCGATTTCCCTCCATGCTGGCTTCTATTGGGATCACCTGAAAAGGAATGTTTAACTTCAATGGGGTGGAGAACAGTAATAAACAATCTTGGCCACACACAAGTGAAAAGGAAATCATTGGTTCCATGAGAAAACAATGCTCACCGTTCCAATGCCTTCAAATGCACCAGTGACTTGACCAAAGAAGACTGGGAAGGTTTCCAACTTGCACCATGTGATGTCAGAAATCTTCACCTCCATTCCTGTGGAAAGTCAACAACATCACACACCCTGCCACAGCAACTTAGAAAAGTGTTCACAAAGTATTAGTACATTTTTTTATTATGGGTTCACCACACCACGAAGTGGTGTGGTGAAACCATATTGCTTTTTCTGGTGTTTCTTCTCCTTCTCCTCCTTCTTCTTCTCCTGCCATTTTTTTAAATGGATTCAGCTTCTTCATTTTAGGGCCTAAGGTCCTGAAATTTGGTATGGAGGTACAGTGGGCAAATACCCCTAGGCGTTTTTTAAATTTTTGTGATACAGGCTTTTAGAATGGTTTTATTTGAGTTTTTTGGCTGTGTTATAGCAAATGTATTACTGTGTTAGTGTGCCATGTTTACCACGTTTGGGTATGAGTCATCACAATGGAATGCAGGGCATCAACCAATAGGCATGCAGCTTTCCTCTATTCTTCTTGCTGATTGGCTGTTGGGATTTAACTTGATTAACAACTGCACAGAGCATTTCCACCTGCACAGAGCATTTCTTGCTGATTGGCTGTTGGGATTTAACTTGATTAACACCTGCACAGAGCATTTCCATACTGACAGTATGTCTGTATTCAAGTGTTTTGGTAGGTATTTCAAGCTTTCCTGCTCCAGCATTGGAATGCGGGGCATGAACGTTATTTTCATTTTGAAAATCAACAGTTTGCATTATGCAATTAAAAATCCTAACCAATAAAGTAGGGAATAGTTATCCAAGTATCCAACTGTTGTTTTAGTCGTATGTTAGTTCATATTATAGTTATATCAATGTAAATCATTGTTTTCCCTTGTGTTTCTCATTCTTTCCCTGCCATGTCGTAAAATGTGGTGAACCCATCGCTGTATTTGCTCCAAAGCAAATATTGGCCTTTCTAGTTCAAAGATTGGTTTTGTAAGTTAAAAAGTGAAGGCTCAATTTGAGCAAAGTACCGGTAAGTAAGTAACACTTGCCTATCAACATGTACACCAGTACAGATATGAATCCAGCTAAGATGGACAGGTTGGCCAGCACACTGATTGGTCCCAGCGAACGCACGCTCCGCAGGTACGAAAAGAACACAAACATCGGGTACGGGATGAGCAGGATGAGCGGGAAGGCAGGCGCTGTGGTACCGTACGCCACGGGAGAGATGTCCGTCATGTTGGCAGGTGGCACTACTGTTGTTGTGGGAGACATTGTGCTTTCATTGGCTGCTGTTGTAGAGTAGTTTCCCCTCACTGTTGTTCCAGAAGGTGTTGTGCTGGTTATGTTGTTTACTTCCATGTTAGAAACAGTAGTTCTGCTGCTTTCTGTTCCATCAGCCATCTTTTCCCTCAATGAATTTGTTGGTAAAGTGACTGAACTAACAGAACTTCTCAAAGCCTGAGCAGGCTGTAAATTCCTGGCTGCACCTGATTTAGGAATGGTCTGCTTTTCTTCAGAACTGGAGACATTCTGTTGGTAAGACTGATCTGCAGAAGGTATATGAGCTATTGCTTCTTCAAAACGTCCTTGTAGAATGGAAGCTATGTCCCCAGAGGAGGTGTCCCTCACATATCTTTGAGTTAAGTGCAGAGAATCATTGTACGTGACAGACATGCCAAGATCAAAAGCCTCTGCTTGGGTGGAATTTACCTCTACCATGGGCCAGAGGGTTTGTATGGTGTTCCCTAAAAACACAAAGTAACCAACCAGGAAGAAGAACTGAGTCTGTAACAGTGCCAGGTTAACAACGATCAGTCCCCCTGTCCCCAAAACCTTCCTCCCCAAGTCCCCATAAGTCAGGCTACGTTCCAGCCGCTTCTTTCGATTTGCTTGGATTACTAAGTCGGCAGCTGTTGGGGGGCCCTGCGATGAATACTTGCTCAGTATCTGCCGAATGAGTTCCTTTTTACAGTCCACGATGAGATGACAACAGTGGTCAGTTACGGTGGCAATAAGCAGCAGTCCACCCAAGCCCAGCTACAGGAGAAAAACAATAATGCATGTTATTGTGGGTTTTGAAGAAGAAGCACTTAAAACACAGAGGCCATTTCCTGGAAGTTAAGGTTACCAAAATTGCATTCAAATCACTGAGGTTTGATATTATAGTCTGTGATCTAATTGTAGTTCTAATTACATGTGTTTGATTAAAGCAATCTAATTCTGTTTCTTGCTTTCTATTCTACCCACGGACTTACCCCAAGACCACTTTGTAAGAAGGCGAACGGCATGCCGATATAGTTGGACCCAATGAATGCCTTGACGATGTTGGCAAAGTCTGCTCCATACCGCACTAGTCTTGTTCTGGTGCTGTGAGTTAAAAGAGACAAGATGCAACATCTTTAAAATACAATGTACTACATTTATCTCCAAGCAGATCATACAGTGGCAATGCAGTATCCATTGGCCAGAGGATACTGTCAGGCAAATGGATACAGACTGACAAATTTGATACAATGTAACTTTTAAAGTTTACTGTCTTTCCCCCAACGAAAGATCTGCTTGGAGATTATGGTACATACCTAGCAACTTGTCTCACATTTGCCTGACAGTATCCTCTGATAATCTTCGCCAGTAGATCGGGTAATATTTAATGACCCTTTAAATGAGCGCCACAGCGAGTTTTGTAGGATGGTCCCAGGACACCAAAATAGTAATCAGGAGTTTCATAAATTTTCTAGCTAAGGGACCACACACTGGGTATGCATTTATAATTTCAACTCTACCGTACTTAGCCAAATCAAGTCATCTCCATGTGGGGTCGTGTGGCGTAGTGGCAGAGTGCGCGACTCGGAACTTGGAGTCCCGGGTTCGAGTCCTGACATGCCACCGATCTTGTGCCCTTGGGAAAGGCACTTTACACGACTTTCCTCACTTAGCTCAGGTGTAAATGAGTATTGTCCTGTCATGTATTTGTCCCCTGTGTTGGTGGCGGCATTAATATAAGTTGAAAAAACTTGAGTGTGTCGTCACCACGTCTGGTGATTACATGTTGGAATAAAAAAAAAAAAGTCATCTCCGATTCGTGAAGAAAAATATGGAGCTTTTTTAAACCGCGGAGCGGAGCCGGTTGCCCCCCTCCCCCTCATGTGAGCTCACTCACCTCGGTACTTCTGCCATGTTCACAGGGGCGTTCAGTTTCTTTCAGCGCGATTTAGTCTACCTGAAACTTCCTCTGGGTCTTGATCGTATTTTGAACGAAGGAATACTCGACTCAAGATGTACAAATAACGACGAATGTCCGCGTCTGGGAGCCGGTAACTACCTGGGTCGACCGGATCGCCCAGCCGCTTCCGCTTTACACCAAGTGACCCAAAAAAGCGCCGCCTAACGTAGGTCAGGAATACTGCAAATATATGCAAGTGCTATTATTACTAGTATACCCTTCGTCTTTTGAGAGGTCAACTAGATGTAGATAAAACAGGTTCACATCTAGTCACAAGAAATGCCTTGAACTAAATGCTGAACGTTTGATTGAACTTCAAATTATGTGACGGTGTAGGTTTTGATCTTCAAGTACAGGTACCTTTCTATCAGCTCTGAATAGTGCACTTACATGTATAACCTTATACAAATGTAGTATAATTGGCATAATTCAGTAGACTGCTGAAAAAAATGTTCAAATGCTCAACAAACGTTTTAATAGTTATCTGCAAAAATCATTTACATTACATTTTTGACAGTACCCTGTTACACAGGTACCCAAGTGGCAACAGATCCAAAAACGAGCATGCATAGATGTCTTCAAATTTGACTTCCATGCAGATAGTTTCTGAACTCAAGAAATCTTCCCTTTGCATGGAAACATCAAAGGGATCTTGTACCTTTGTACCTGGTTCTCTTCATATTGCTCATAACCATGACTTTTCCTTCAAGCCGTGGGTAATGTACTTCATAGTTGTTTACAGTAGTCATTGTACATCTATATCTTTACAACATTGTATATAATCAGCATTTTCATATTCAAATCAACATCTGCTGCTTGTCTATACTATAGTTTTTCGACACAAAAGCACCATTACGTTATCTCCAAAAACCCAACCTTGGAGTGTGCCTCTTACAAGTATACTCGAACTT